GCCCCCATCGTTTTCGATGTGACGCTGCCCCCGGGCTTTCGCAAGGACTAGAATGCCTAGATTGATATTTATTCGCATTTGTTGCCGGTTCAATGAATTTAGTTTTGTCCCACTTTACGTTTATATTAAGATATTTTGTCTACAGAAGTTGGAAGGCACGAATTTGGTTGTCTGAAGATGGAGATACAATTCTCTACAAACACACTTAAAATGCCATACAATAGTTAAGACACTGCACCGATTTGTAGAAGTTTCCATACAAATGTCACAAATTTAAGAGAACACCCTCATAGAACTAGAATTTTTCTGAAAAATACTTGAAACGAAAGTTTGTGTTCTGCAATCTTGTGCCCCAATTTGACACTAATATATTGTGGTGTAAAATAAAACTTAATAAATAAAACATATTTAAGAACTATATTTTTTTGTGCCTGGATTTAACCAAGTATATACAATTTTATTCCGAAATGGTTTTTCTACCTTTGACTTATTTGATTTTTTAATTGAGAACTGTATAACATAGGTGATTTCCTTGATTCTGATAAAGTTAAAGTATTAAACAGACTAATATTTTTAATAACAATTATTTGAATTTGTATCGATAAGCCGCCAAAAAGGCCTGGAAAGCCCATGGAATAAACCCTACTGGGCTGGACTACAACCCTGTCATCCAGTTTGACATTTCTCTTTGGCGCCCTGTAACGGCTCTTTTCCAGTGACTCCCCAACCTTCCAACCTGAAGCTGCACTTTTCGCGTGGCGAGACCAAAAAATATTTAAAATAAAGGTCCCGTGAAAGATTTTAATTTGTATACCCCACTTTTAGATCAGCAAGAAAGCACACAAATAAAATGGTGAGAATAGAAAAATGAGTTTCTGTTGGTTAAGTTCTATAAAATATGGAGAGTGGAAAGTGAAAATGAATAAAAGAGAATAGGGCGAAAAGGAAAAAGTTAAAACCACCGTATCTTAAAATATTATTTAAGTTTTGTCAAAAGTTGCCTTGGTAATACAAATAGAAGAATCTTAAGATTCAAGTTATTTATGTTTTATGTTATGGATGGTAGCTGATTGGTGTCCCAATAACCATTTTATCTTTTGCTGTTTCCTTAGACTTATGGGCAAAAATATAAGCTATAATATTTTTAGGATCTAAAATAATATTGTTTATTCAAAAATATAAAAAAGATCAAGTTTAAATTAGTTTTAGCAAAACTATTTGTATCTTTAGTAGGGAAATTATTCTTTGTATAATGAAAATGCAACCTAACCTAACCTAAAACAATGGCGAATTTTCCACTTAAACCTTTTTCCTATGTTCCCTGACAGCGCGAAGTGGTCTCCATCCAGATTGGCCAGTGCGGCATCCAGATCGGCAATGCCTGCTGGGAACTCTATCTCCTGGAGCACGGGATCAATCTGGACGGGAGTCTGAAGACCAAGGAGGAGCTAACGGCCAGCGGGAGCAGTGCCAGTGTGGGTCACGACACCTCCGCCAATGATGCACGGACCTTTTTCACCGAGACCGGAAACGGGAAACAAGTGCCCCGCTCCATTTTCGTGGATCTGGAACCGACGGTTATCGATGATGTGAGGAATGGCTGCATGAGGGAGCTCTACCATCCGGAGCAACTGATTTCCGGCAAGGAGGATGCGGCGAATAACTATGCCCGCGGTCGCTACTCCATTGGCAAGGAGGTGATCGATAGGGTGACCTCACGACTGCAGAAGATCGCCGAGCAGTGCGATAGTTTGCAGGGATTCCTCATCTTCCACTCGTTGGGCGGAGGAACTGGCTCGGGATTCACCTCCCTGTTGGTTGAGCGACTATCCACCGATTATAGCAAGAAGTGCAAGCTGGACTTTGCCGTCTATCCCTCGCCCAAGGTGTCCACTGCCGTGGTGGAGCCCTACAATGCCCTGTTGACCACTCACTCCACAATGGACCACTCGGACTGTGTGTTCATGGTGGACAACGAGGCCATCTATGATATATGTAACAATAGCTTGGGTGTGGACAGGCCAGCCTATATGAATCTGAATCGTTTGATTGCCCAAATAGTGAGTTCCACAACGGCCTCGTTGCGTTTCAGCGGCTCGATGAATGTGGATCTCAACGAGTTCCAGACGAACCTGGTGCCCTTCCCCAGGATCCACTTCCCCCTGGTGGCCTATGCTCCGCTGATGTCCGCCGAGAGGTCGGCCCACGAACAGCATGCCATTACCACCTTGACCAATGCCTGTTTCGAGTCCTCCAACATGATGGTCAAGTGTGATCCTCGGGCTGGCAAGTTTATGGCCTGCTGTATGCTCTACAGGGGTGATGTGGTGCCCAAGGATGTGAATGCAGCTGTCTCAGCCATCAAGTCCAAGCGGCACATCCAATTCGTGGACTGGTGTCCCACTGGCTTTAAGATTGGCATCAACTATGAGCGGCCCGCCTTTGTGCCGGATGGGGATTTGGCCAAGACCTCGAGGGCCTGCTGCATGCTGTCCAATACCACCGCCATTTCTGTGGCCTTCTCTAATTTGTCCTACAAGTTCGATCTGATGTTCAAGAAGCGGGCCTTCGTCCATTGGTATGTGGGTGAGGGCATGGAGGAGGGCGAGTTCACGGAGGCGCGGGAGAACATCGCCGTCCTGGAGCGGGACTTCGAGGATGTCGGTCTGGACAATGCCGATGAGGGCGGTTCTGAAGAATTCGATGAATTTTGATATCATATACTAATTCCCCAAGCCTGTCACTTCAATATCCAATCAATATATGTAAATAATAAATCAACAAAGCGTGTAACTAACCATGATTTTAATCGGGTTGTGGGTCACATTCTTATGATATAATATGAAAGCATTATGAAAACGTACGTTTGTATTGTAATGAATATAATTGAAGCATGTTTTTTAATAGGATTCCAAAAAATTAACGAACTAATACAAGTTATTTTTTTTGGGGTCGAAAAATTTTAGGAACACTTAAAATTCCATTAAAAGCAAAATCAGTTAGAAACAACTAGTCTAGATCAATTTTTTTCGCAAAGTTCACAGGAAGAGTCAATACTTGCATAATAAAGAATAGATGAGCTCTTTTTTTAATGGGGAAACAAAATTATCCAATTTCCATATAACCCACTGTAGGTACACCTAAAATAAGAAAAACTTAACTAAGATTTCAAATAAAAACACATATTAGCATTAGTTTTCTGTAATATTTTTTTGTATTTTTTCTTTAGTTTTTTGTTGTGTTTGTTGTTTATTATTTTTAACGCCTATTCGCTATGTTCTTTTCAATTGTTTTTTTTGTTTTACTTAATTTTACTAGATTTTATTTTGAACTTGCAAGTATTTTGCGTTTTTTTTTTCTTCATGAACTTACAATAAAGAATCATCAAAAAGTTGTTGCACAGTGTAAAATTACAATATTTTTGTTTTTGTGAGTGTATGTTTGGGTGTTTTTTTTTTTAGGTGTGTATATGCGTGGGTTTTGGGTTTACGTGTATATCGTCTACGGTGTTAATCTATAAATCTAAATTTCTCTCTAAGAGCAGGCCAATGTTTACACCAATCAACTGGGAATTATCGTTCGTGTTAACTTGTAAAATCAGAAAACGGCAAAAGTTTAGTTTAGTTTAAACAAAGATCCTACTATACAAAGGAAAGGCATTGCATTTGTGTACTTTTGTTTTTGTTTTTGTTTTTTGTGTGTGTTGTTTAGTGTATATCTTTAGTTTCCTATTTAGTATAATTACATAATGACGATTTCCCATCTACTGAGTTTGCATTTGCTTTAATTACAATAGTTAATCAATAAAAAATATATAACGATGATGATGGCAAATTATGTTGTTTTTTCAAATTGTTGTGTTTGTGGTTGTTGGTTGTTGGTTGCATTACAAATTGCTGTTAAAGTTGGGTTCTGCGGTAGCTTGCTAACGGTGTTCTGGTTGCTGTTCTAAACGTTTGCTGGTTCAACTGCCATCCTGTCGCCTTAATATGGAACATTTGAGAAGAGATACGAGACACTCTCGCCGTTGTGTGTCCGTCTGACGGCCTCGGCGAACATCATCGAGACATCAATGCACTGGGGAAAGAAATAGAGGAACCATTAGATCATTTTGAAAAATATAAAGACCTCTTCCGGTTATCATAATCCCAGAATTTGTCCATTATTTACTTAAAGCTTAACAGAACTCACACTAAAACATTAAAATTCTCTAAATTCTAATAAGCAATAACAAAAACTAGCTGGAAACTATTAGATTGTTTTGAAAAGTATAAAGTCTTCTACAGGTTATAATATTTGTCTATTACTTTACTTAAAAGATGCACCACCTTACACTAAAAAAATAAAAATCTTTAAATTCTAATATATAATAACAAAAATGACAGTTCTATGTCATCTAAAAACTTAAGACCCACCTGGATTTTGGGACAATCACGCATGTGTCCATCCTGTGGTATGGTATTGGTCACCACCACCGCCTCGAAACAGGCGTTGTTAATCCGCGAAATCGCCGGACCCGAGAAAATGCCATGCGTCAGAATGGCATAAACCTGATCAATAAATGTATCATTAAGTAAGGAAATTAAATAAGAATTAGCCCAAACCCACCTTGGTGGCCCCAGCCTCCACCAAACGATCCGCAGCATGCACAATCGTGCCGCATGTGTCGGCCATGTCGTCGACCAGGATGGCAATCTTGTCCTTGACATCTCCCACCAGAACCATGGAGGCCACCTCGTTGGCCTTCTTGCGCTCCTTGTGTATCAGAGCGAACTCCACATTCAGGCGATCGGCAATCGAGGTTACACTGTAAGAATTGCATATAAATTAAGATTATCTGATATAATAAGGATAAAATCTATAACTTACCGCTTGGCACCGCCAGCATCGGGCGACACAATGATCGAGTTCTTCCACTCGGGAATGTTCTCCTTGATCCACTTCAGTACCGCTGGCTCGGCATAGAGATTATCAACTGGTATATCAAAGAAACCCTGGGGAATGGAGAATTTTCAAATTAGTTAGAAATCAAGTAGTCGTTGCCAGATGTCAAATATTTGTCAGGCATAAAGAAACCGTATATCAAACATTACAGTTTTGAACATATACAAAATCGAATCTACCTAAAATTTATTTAAAAAAGCAGATAAAATCCCAAAACTAAAAGTTATATATTTCTACAAAATGTCACAATCCCAAACCCAATCCCCTAATCGCGCGGAGGAACAGCAGGACGACCTGAAACAATGGCTAAAGGAGCAGCGCATCGTGTTGGACATGCGAACTCGGCGTTTTTTCTCCGATGTTTTGCCAGTGGCTAAGATTATCAAGCAATGCCATCCTCGTCTGGTGGATCTGCACAACTATACGCCCAAGTGTAGTGTGGCACTGAAGCTCCAGAGTTGGGAGACCTTCAGCAACAAGGTTCTGAAGAAGTTGGGCATTCATATGCCTCGTTCTGGCCTGGAGCAACTGGCTTCTGCCGCACCAGGAGCCATAGAATCGCTGTTCCAGGAACTGATTGCAGTGATCAAGTGTGGTAGCCCCAGGCCAAGTCCCATGCGGAGTGTTTCGCCAACGCCTTCTCACAAAAGCGAGGTAGTTGGCAGAGTGGCCAATAAGGATTCCCTTAAACGCACTCTCAATCGCTCCCTCACTCAAATAATCGAACGCTCTTCCTCGGGTGATATTAAACCCAAAGTTCTGACCATGAACGTGGATGTCCTGGTTAATGGACAGCTCAAGAAGGTGGCCAAGAAACTAGTGGAGTACGACCACTATGCGAAAGTTGTTAAAAAGAGTGCCGAGAAGTCCAACTACATAACCTCAATCCTCCAAAAAACCGACTATCTGCAGAGTATTATCGCCGTAAAGGAGGAGCGTATATCAGAGTTAATGGATCAACTGGCAAAACTATCGGTGAGCATTCTTTCCATGCGACCGACGCTCAGCGATAACGATGACGATACTAGGATCAGTATAAATTCCCATACCCCCATTAACAACGCCTCAGAGCCCTACTTCGAGTACTCCAACTAACCTAGCGATGTGAAGATAGTGTGTTCCTGGAGAATCCCGGCCAATGCGTAATACCGAAACTCAAGCTTGATGACCCGTTCGATCCTTCTAATCAAAAATAACTTTTCACACCAACAAAACAAAACCTGCATGTTATCGGATATGTCTGTACCCTATATATTTTGTATTTTAGTTTGATTTTCTAAAACACTTTGGCTTTACCCCATTAAAGAACGCGAAATTGTTATGTTGTTCAGAAGAAAAATCACATTTTCTTTATCGTAATTAGTTGGCTGATAAATAAAATCGAAATGCGATAGGAAAAACGCATTGAAAGCTTTGAAAATGTAATGATATCAGAGATAACTATGAAAAGTATTTGTTTTCATATGAGATATGGTTCTTTTGTGGCCTAAGAAATTTTGTAAAAGGTTTTAATGCACTTTTCACTGGGAAGTTGGTTAAGGATGAACTCTTTTTTATCATTCTAAAGGTTATGGGTTCCTGTATTCACAGGATTAATAAAAAATCACTAACCCCATTTACATATAAAACAAACCTTATTTAAAACTCACGAAAAACTTGTCTAACACTGATGTTTCAGTACGTTATTTTGCTCTTAAGTACATTAATTAGCTAAATCTAGGGCAGACTTACCTGAATCTGTGAGGCGTGCAGATCCATGGTTATGATGTGATCCGCTCCAGCCACGGACAGCATGTTGGCCACCAATTTGGCCGAGATGGGCGCGCGACTCTGTGCATTGGCCAGCGTAGAAAGAGAGGCAAGTAAAGATTTCCATTAGCGCAACTAGTAGTTAGGTTATTGGTTCAGTTCTTAAGGCTAGGCATTTTATGAGGAGTAAACCATGGAAATCAAAATCGAACATGGACACACATATGTATAGACAGAAATCAACAAAGAGGTTAACGTTCCAATAGATTGCATATGGACATACATAATTCATAGACAGAAAAAGAAGAGAGATTCAGTTGCGACAACACAAAGGACAAATGTGATTTGGTGCAGCACCCCGGAGATAATGAATTGAGATCGCGAGAGGGCGAGAATGATATAGATGTATACCCAGGTGATAAAGTGCAACGCCAGTTAGAGATAAACATGTACAGATAGTTCGGTTAATACGCAAACAAGTGCAAAGAAAATTTAACAATTTTTGATATTTTTTCATTGTTTTTCCATTTTTTCTCATTTGATTGGGATTGGTTTTTGGTGGTTTATTTGAATTTCAAACTGAACGGAGAACAAGGCATGCAAAACATTGTTCGGATACAAATAGGGATACGATAATCGCCTGGTTTCATCAACTCAAAAGAAAACATTAAAGAACGCAACAAAGCAAAAGGCTTAAGACAAAAATAATCTAAAGCAGATTCTTTTTTTTTAGTCCCGCAGCAGCATTAAAAATAATAATGCCTGGGATACAGGAACTAACCGAACTACTCACAGTATATTGTTTGGCTGAAAACTCCTAAGCTCAACAGAATTCGAATTTTGTTTGTTTTTATATATATTTTTTTGGGTAATTTGTTGCAATAGAGAGACAAAGAGTATAAAAAGAAAAAGAAGAAAACAAAAAGTTCAGAATAATTGACAGTTTAAAATTAAAATTAATGTGGATGGGGGGAGTCACAGTGTATATCACATAAGTAAAAGTTAACAAAGTCGTAATCCGTGTTTCAAAAGAAGGGTGTTAGTCAAGGTGGAGGTAGGACTCAATTCAAATCAGGTTGCAGTGCCAATAATAATACTATATATTTTCCTTTCATTTCAGCTGATTATCTTGAAGGTCAAGAAACCCATTTACAGATTACAGAAATGAACAAATATTTGTGCATTTTGCACGCTTGACCCCCAGGGTTCATTGTCTATGAGTACGTATGTGACCCCCATTGCCGATCCGATCGTCTGACGTCACATGAGGATTATCTAGCAACGGTAAAACTTAATCGAGTGGATTGAAAAACAATTTTTAAGCCCCCGAAAGGAGGCTGTTGTCGGGTACCGATAAGACTAGAAAAAAAGTGCAAGACGACAACAGTCAACACAAACAAACAGCAGTCGAAACAACACAAACAATAATATTTATTAGGGGTCTATTATAATAGATTAATGTAAATTTTATATTTTTTTCTTGCAACGAAGAGCCGCCGAAACAAAACAAACACAGGCAACAAAAATATGTGGAAAATTTTCATTTTTATCATTTATCACCAATTAGTAATTGCATTGCATTTTTACCGATTTTCTTATTATTAGTTTATGAGTAGGGAATGGGGATCTGGGTTTTTAGGGAGGGGACATGCAAGATAGACAAAAAGCAACTTTTCTCTAGAGATACGAGAAACTTGTTAAGCCAGACGCCAAAAAATTCCTTTGTGTGGTATGAGTTTCCGAGGATGAGTTTGCCATTTTGATATTCCCTTCCAGTTGTTTTTAGTGATTTTATTTTTTTTGATCGAAAGAAAATTAATAAAGAATTTCCCATTAGATATATAGAAGAACATAAAGTGTGAATTAGGTGAGAGTTTAGTTGTAGTTGAAAAAGGTACAAGGTAAATACCCTAAATTTCCAATCGTAGTTTTTCTTGGCTAGTTTCTTGCTTTCCGCACTTTCCTCACCGCCTGCCAACTTCACGGAGAAAGAGGAGAGAGACAGAGATCGATAGAGAAACGGAGAAAGAGAGAGAATAACACCAAGGCACACACACACGCGCGGTTAGAGGGAGATAGTTGTAGGAGGGCGAGAAAGAGATAGCGAGCATGGCACATGGGAATAAATAATAATTATAAACGTATTTAATCACAAAGCAAAATATAGATAAATGTATATCACAAAATTATTTATAAAAATTTTCCACATTTTCCAATTGCGTGCGTTTTTTTTTTAGATTTTTCTCCAGCTTAGCTTCTTGCAAACTGTTTTTGTTTGAAAAATAAAATCAAATCTAACTTGATTAACAAAATGCATTAGAAACACACAGACACACACAGAAAATAGAGAAGTATATATAGGATAAATTAATCGGTTATATAGCATTTAACAATCGAGCTAAACGTTGGGAAAAAACATTTCGGGGGGGAAAAGTTTACGCTTTTTTATTTCCACTTTTCCCCAATAAAAACAGTGTGTGGGCTTTGAGTTGGAGTAATAATCGGATTATCTAGAATTAATTGTTTACATTGCTTTTTTCTTTGCACGCTAGGATCCCGAAAAAAGGATCCTTCGAATATAATACCGTGTGATTTTCGGCGGCCGGATCGTGTTGAGGCAAACCTACCTTGTCTTTTTTGTCTTGGCGGGCATATGGAAAGCAAGGAATCACAGCTGTAACACGAGAGGCTGAGGCGATTTTGCAAGCATTGATCATGATCAGCAGCTCCATCAAGTTGTCGTTGATCTCGCCGGATCCCGACTGCACGATGTACACATCCTCGCCGCGCACCGATTCCCCAATTTCCACACTGCAAGAAACAGAGAGCGGGGGTCAGTTGAAAAGCAGAATGGAGGGGTGTGCACTGTGAGAAAATATCAGCAGGGTTTGACCAAATATTGTATAGTTTTTCGAGCCATCAGATTAAAGAACTATTAAATAAAGTACCATTGCAATCCATCAGAAATCAAATGAAATATAAGATCCTATAAGAGATCCTTGGATTATTAAGGTTTACTTTCTGTATTCAAATACCTAAAATATTTTCAAAATAATGATATTCAGATATAATGGTATAGTTTTTCGAACCATCAGATTTAAGAATTATTAAATGAAGTACCATTGCAATCCATCAGAAATCAAATGAAATATAAGATCCTATAAGAGATCCTTAATAATGGTTTACTTTCTGTATTCAAATACCTAAAATATTTTTAAAATAATGATATTCAGATATAATGGTATAAGATCTTATAAGAGAACCCATTCGGTTATAAAGGGTTAGTCTCTGTGCTGGAACTTAAAATATTCGATTTTAAAAGAGAACCTATTCGGTATAAGGCTTTAGTCTCTGTGCTCTATTACCTAAAATATTGATAAAATGATAATATCATTTAAATATAATAATAAAAAGACACCCCATACGGTTATACAAATTTCGTCTCTGTGCTTAAATACCTAAAATATATATAAACCTAATAAATCTTTAAATAGGTTATCAAAAAATATAAATGTTTTTGTTTGTAAACAATGTGTCAGTATTAATTTCACTCCCTAAGTGTAAGGAAATTTCCATTGTTTGTGTCAAGCTCGAATGTCTAAGCAACACTTCTCAAATTCGCTCAAAGTATCCTGCTCGCCACCCTACCCTTTAAATATTGATATTCTAAACAAGTCTCGCCCCCACTTGCTACGCCCACAATTTTGACCTTTGTCGAAGCCCAAAAGAAACTGCAATCTAATCGAAAAAAAAAATAATTCTCTCGAACACACATGGCGTATGCGCAATATGTGCACTGAGAACTGACGCCGACGCGGCTTCGTTTATTATTTTGTTTACATTTTGTTTTGTTTTGGTTTCGGTTCGAGTTCCAAACTCAGTTAGGAACTATAGGTATTCGATACCCTTGATGGGAAATGTGTGGCTTAATCAGCATTACAAAGGCGGAAATAAATAATCCAGAACATATGTACACAATGTATACTATATCTTAAGTAAACTTGTTTATAAATGGGATTTGTAAATATTAAAAGATCTTTTTAATTTTGAAAATAAATGCTTACTAAGTAATATTATATCTTAAAGGAATTTCCTAAAATTCACCCAATAAAATATCCCAAAACTTTACCCTGTTCAAAAGATAACTTCCATAAAGCAACCAATTTCACTCAATAAAAACACTGGTTCAACTAATTCTCACTTTGTACTACGCTGTGTTTTGTGTGTTCTCATGGTTATTTTGGCTTTTGTTTTTCCATTGAAGGTTAATTCAATTACATGGCGTTTCTAGCATCGGCCCTCAACCGACTATCGATTGAGCGACCTGCGCCAATGTGGTCAGTAAT